TCTTTCCCATAGCTTCATTGTGTGGCTCATCAACTTTATACCTCTGTAGTTGCTACAACTCTGCACATCACCCTTGTTCTTAAAGATCGGCACTAGTACACTTCTCCTCCATTCCTCAGGCATCTTCTCACTCTCTAAAATCTTGTTGAACAAACTAGATAGAAACTCCACTGCTGTCTCTCCTAGACACTTCCACATCTCCACGGGTATGTCATCTGGACCAACAGCCTTTCCACTCTTCACTCACACATCTGGGACATTCACTGTATCAAAACTGTGGAAAATTCCCCTGTACCGCTTTCAGTCTTTACGCTCCACATGGAGATTTGTGCTCTGCAGAAGTGAATTTGTCTTTATTAGAAATCATAACTGTGGTTATGTGAGGCTAACAAATCATATTAAATATACTCATAATAAAGTCATCAAAGGCATGCATTCAGACTTTATAATGCTACATGCAGATCTTAAATGCTCTTTCCTTTGAAAGAACCATGATATCAGGGACATTCAATCGCTAAACACATAAACTCTGTAACTTCCAATTTGACAGTTCTCTTCAGCAACCTCAGATGCATTTGGTGTTTGATATTTTGTAAAGTTAGAAACATCTTCATATTACAGTATATATTGTACAATCCTGAGTCCAGTGTAAAAAAAGACAAGAGCATCCACCCTAATCCTAAACGTGGTGTAATTTACATTGTACAAAGTATGAAAGACCTGAGTGATCAGATCATTGACTATAATCTCCATGCATTGCATACACTGTTCTCAGCATATGTCTGTGGTTAGTCTGTGTAGGTGCTGAGTAAGGGTCTGTCAACATATGACAGCAAAGAGTAGAACCTGGAGAATAGGGCATGCTACTTCCAACGTGCATGTGTTTGGGAAAGTTGGGAAAAAGGGCATGCGCAAGCCAATAAAACAAGTGCTTGCAGGTAGACGTACTGTAGGAGTGATGTCATATCACGGTGCCACAAAGACCTTGTACTTTAATTCTCACTTGGGTCATTTTCATGTTTTCTCTTTATTACATAATCTCAGATTAAGAAAACTCGACTGTTCTTGCATATATAAAATTCTTTGACCCCTTTGTATAAACATGAAACATTTTACAGGCAGAGATCAGTTATCGCTTCAGCAGTGTTCAAAACAACAGAAAAGAACAACTAAGCAGTCTTTAGTGACTCTGAATTACCTTGGTGAGAAGGTGGCTGAACAATTAGTGCAGTATTTTATGAAATTAACACAAGGAGACTAGCACTTTAGTTAGTTTTGATTCTGAACAAAGAATGAACAGGTAAATCATTTCGAGATTATTGCTCTGCTTATTTCAGGAGCTATGCTCCAGTGAGGTCATCTATGCTGTTAAAATGCAAGCAAGTGTTGAAAAAACTAACCGTTAAAGACATAACTGAATGGCAGATAAAATCCTATCAGGAAGAACCAACACAGATTTCTGCTGAAGTGACACATGCCAGGAGGTAGTGAAATCCAGAGAAGTCTACTACACTGAAATCTTTCTTCTGTGAAATCTTGATCCAAATTTGGCTTTGTTAAGAGAGATTGCCTTCATTGCCTTCTGCTTCCCTCTTGGCTATCTCTTGACAGGGTGGAGTTTGCGGCCAAAATACTCTGGTGCAGCATCCAGCAGCCAGTCCGCATCTACCAAACAGAGGTCTCTCATGTAGCAGTGGGAGGTTTGCAGCAGCTCATTGAAGACCACGTATGCTGGCTTGGCCTGGAAAAGAACAGAGGAGGGGTGGATTGCCACAGGCTGGTGGGTGTCCAGCGCTAAATAGCTGCCATCAAGCTGTAGCTCCGCAGCACTGACAAACATTCCATGGGCAAGGCAGCGGCGGATGTTCCCTGTGTTCGCCCCGCACGACTCCAACTTCAAATTCAGCTGGAAGAAACAAGCATTTAGTTATCAATAAGGTCAAATAAACATGAGAGCTGCTATTCCAAAACAACTGCCACTATGAAAACGCTGGATATCATGACAGTCTCCTGCAACATAATGACACTGTTGTCTATCTTGTTAAGCAAATTTACACTTCTGCTGTAAATAAATAGAAACTAAAACAACAAACTTAAGTCTTCAGGTACACAACCAGTCCAAGTTTTCTGTGCGTTCATTTCATATGTCAAGGCAGCACTGTTTTTAAGTCTTCAGGTACACAACCAGTCATTTCATATGTCAAGGCAGCACTGTTCCACCTAGCAGTTAGGTCAAAGGTCAAAGGGTTTATTGTCATATGCACAGTACAGAAACACGTTTCCCTGTACAATGAAATTCTTACTTTGCCGTCCACAGGAATGC